GTTTCATTTAACCTTGTAGCCTTTTACACTGGAAAACCTGATTTGATTAAAATATATTATGAAATATTTGAATATGGAAGGGTATTGATAGAGTTTCTGAAGTTTTATTGTTATGTGACAAATAAAAAAAAGTAGTGTTTGAGTAAAGTATACAACATGAAACAAATAATCCATACAATATTGAGAAATATACAATAAAATAAAATCACAATATAAAAAATGTTGAAATAGAACCAAATTTATTTGAAGTGGCCATGTGAACAAACATTGGTTTGATATTATAGCTATAATATTTTAGGAATAGAATCTGGATAATATTAAGAAATATATATATAATAAAATAAAATTATTATAAGAAAACAACGATGAAATAGAGGAAAATTTATTTGAAGTGGCCATTTAACAAAATCGTGAGAAACATGTCCCAAGCTTCTAAACGTGCATTCATATAAAAATCATTACTTTGTGTTCAATGTTATCATTCAGCATGCTAAATTGTACAATAAACTCAAAAGTTTCCACGTTTATATATTTTTTTTAATCTATTCCAATCACTAAAGAAGAATATGAATAGAATATACATCTAAAAAGCAGGCCTATTTGTTTTTGGTCAGTTATAACATGTAGTATGAGACCATCTATGTGTTAGCTCTCCCCCTAGTTAATATGTAAAATTTTTAAATTCTTGTATTTTTCATCATCCTTAGTTTGTATTCAGTATGGTGCTCAAGTAATTTACTCGACTTTTGCTAGCGTACATGGCACATTAATTCATTGTTAACTGTCTTCTTCAAGAAAGATAACTTGTAGTATTATGACAGGGACAGAATCACCTGTGTAGTAATGGTACAAATTGTATGTTAATTGGACAGAATCACCTGTGTAGTAATGGTACAAGTTGTGTGTTAAATGGATAGAATCACCTGTGTAGTAATGGTACAAACTGTATGTTAATTGGACAGAATCACCTGTGTAGTAATGGTACAAACTGTATGTTAATTGGACAGAATCACCTGTGTAGTAATGGTACAAACTGTTGTGTTTCTTAGTGCTTCTTTTCATGAAGGATATCTTGGATTTGATTTGGCTGTCAGTAGGATATGAAGCACAATTTTCTGCTTGGAATATGGCGACATGTCAAAGATATTACTCCTTCAAGATTCACAGTGCACTTGCAGATATAATATCGCCATTGTGCTCATCAAAAATGCCAACAGGTTGTTGAATGCTTCTGGTATGTGTCCTGATAGATCTATCAATGCATTGTTTCCTGAGCAGAGTAGATATAACCTGTCGTATCTCATTTTTGGCTAGAATATAAATATGCTAAGGATATTTACTGACTAATTATTCATGCATTCTTCTGGGATTTATCTTTTTGGCATCATCATTAGCTTCTTGAAAGATTTTGGTAACTTCTTTGAAAGGATAAATATACTTTGAACCATAACAACATCAATATGCAGGTGATAAGGGCCAACCTTGGGAAAATGTTTCTTTGCTACTGATTGAATTAATGTCTTCTGGTAAAATAGTGAATAAAACAAAAAGCCACATTCACGGCCTATTAAAAAACTAAATTCCTGGCCTGGCTAGTGAACTCGGTGTTAAAATATGAAGTCATCTTAAACCCAGCTCACTAAGTGTGAATATTAATGAGAAAATTTTATTAGGATCAACTGAACTCCACATAATTTCTCTAAGTGGAGTCTATTATCTGAAAGAAAAGTCTGCCAAAATCTCTGTCTAATTGTCTATTAAAATCTGTATCTACTGTGACAAATATGTACAAACAAAGTCAAGTTTGTACCAAACAGCACGTTCAGCAAGCAGTTCATATCATGTGCAAAGGGTGTTGCTTCTCTTAGCTGAAAAACTGTCCATTCAACATACAATTTGTACCATTACTACACAGGTGATTCTATCCAATTAACACACAACTTGTACCATTACCACACAGGTGATTCTATCCATTCAACATACAATTTGTACCATTACTACACAGGTGATTCTATCCATTCAACATACAATTTGTACCATTACTACACAGGTGATTCTATCCAATTAACACACAACTTGTACCATTACTACACAGGTGATTCTATCCATTTAACACACAACTTGTACCATTACTACACAGGTGATTCTATCCATTTAACACACAACTTGTACCATTACT